TTTCCTGTTGTCCGTCCCCCAGGGAGGAGGTCACAAGTCAAAGGAAGAGGATACATTCCAGAAATGGGTTTTAGGGCATACTCTGTTCAGAAAGCAAGTTTTCCATAAAGGGATGTATAACCCTCCTCCCTTGATGATGTTTTGTTGAGTCGGATGACTTTATTCCACTGAAGCAAATTTTATAGCATGGGAGAGAGAGCACCATAGGAAATGCAAGCTATTAATTCATGTTTACTTTACAGATGGAACAATTTAGATTTTAGACCTAACATACTGCTTGGTAGACCAAGCTTTTCGTGGGAATGTTTCCTCTCAATGGCCACAGGGCTAAAATGCTAGTTCAACCCACCCTCTACTGCAAGACCCGCTCCTGATGCTGGAGACACATCATAAAATCTTTCTTTTTTTCCCCCCAGTAACCCCTAGTACACTTCCTAGCCTTGTTCTCATGGGCTACGCAGGCCTGAACGAAAGGACCTCTCAGCTCACTCCACGGCCAGTGTAGCGCTCTAGTGGCTTCATTTGTAGGCTGCCAACCATACATACCTAAAGTTAACAAAATTTGGTGGTGGCAACTTCTGACATGTTCTCCATAAATCTTGAAGTTTTTTATCTTGGTCTTGCACACTGAAGGGGAAAAAAAAAAGGCTTTGTTCACAATGATTTATAGAATCCATGTTAATTAGAAATACCTGTATCAATTAGATGGCCTGGGGGGTGGCATCGTGGGTGAAGGGTTGGACGGCTATCTACAAGGCCAGAGTGGTTCAAATCCACTGGCAACACTAACTCCAGGGGTAAACGACAAGGGTGTCGGCTCTCATGGAGATTTACACGCTCAGAAACCTCAGGGAGCAGTTCTGTTCCACTCTTTGGGATCACCATGAGTCCGATTAGATTCGAGGGCAGTGGGTTTTTTTTGTATTAATGTGCTTCATCAACAGGTAATCCTTTATTATCGGAAAAAGCACAGTTTGGAAAGAGCAGGGATTTTAAAATAAACAGATCTGGAGTACAAACCCAGCTTCACCCCTAGCTCTTTAACTCTGAGCTGTAAGTTCGCCTCATCAAGACTTCTCTCTTGATTTCTAGGATCGTGCTGATGTGCAAAGTTCTCCAGGGGCTTTGGTGCCATATGATGCAAAACCACCTCACTGATGGGGGACACTGAGGGGACACTAAGCATTCGCTCTGGGAAATATGTATTTTTAAAAACTGTGCTGAAAGTGCACAAGGAAAACATACCATCTCAGTAATTTCCATCCATACAGTTCAGAGGAAATGTATTAACACACGGCTCCAGGAAGCACATCGTTTCTTAGCCTAAATGTGGCCAAATTCAGCGGGCCAAATTCACAGGAGCCCACCCAGCCCTCTGCGTCTCCCTTGCTCTAAGTAACACGGAATGGATTATGAATCAATTGCAGGAGCTCTTCTACTACATGATTCCAATCTAGACATTTTCATAGAAACACACCACAAAAGGGAGCTGGCCAGAGGCTGCAGAGCAGACCTGTGCTGCCCAGCAGGAAGCGAGAGTGTTAGAAGTTGCCTGCTATTATACTTCTGTGGACTCAAAACAACCTCTCAGACCGGATACAATCTGGAGAGCTAGTGGGCCGGAGCTACAAGCTTTGTAGTATTTACGCAACGCTAGACCGGGGGACAGCGTGGGAAAGAACACAATCTTGGTCAATAAAGGTCAGGCAGGCCTGAGTCTAAATACCAGCTCTCCCAATTACTTGCTAATGGTCCCGGCCTTGTTCTTTAGTTTCCTGAGCCTCAGTTTCCTCATCTGTAAAATGAGAGTAACACCTGTCTTTAATGATGTTAAGTACGGAGTCCGGGTTAGTATAAACGGCTCACACGCTCTGCTAAATTAAAGGTTGGCAGTTTGAGTTCACACATAGGTACCTAGGGAAAACGTCTTAGTGATCTCAAACTCACCGCCATCGAGTTGGGGATGATTCACAGTGACCCTATAGGACAGGGTACAACTGCCCCATGAGTTTCAAGATTGTAACTGTCTTTCTCCCCGGGAGAAGCTGGTGGTTTTGAACGGCTGACCTTGCAGTCTGCAGCCTGATACGTAACCGCTGCGCCAAGAGCGCTCTACTCCACCCCCCCAAATCAGCCCCTGACACCCCTGTGGAACAGTGTCACGCTGATACACAGTTGCATGGAACCAACTTGCTGGCACCTGGTATGGTTACAGGAGGCAGTGGGGATAGAGATTACGAAGATGAACACCTATGAAGTTCATAAATGCTAACTCTGGCAACTAATAGTAACACCATCATTATACTATTGAACAGCTAGCTGAGTCTGGCTCAATATGGCACTCCCACACAATCACTTGCTATAATCGAATCCTTTAATATGGTTCATCCACGTGAATCTATGCCTTTAAACATATCAATCACTCTAACTTATGACAGAATATACAGGTGCTGACCTCCCTTAAGCTAATCATTATGATAATTAGTGTTTTCACTCTGAACTTAAGTCAGAACTGGGGCACATATTATATAATGAACACGAGGGACCCTTACAGAGCTTGTAGAAAAATGCCATTACCTTCTAATTCGGCTGTTCCATAGACTTTTTAGAAGGCCCGCTCATTGGCTACTCTTATAAGTTTTATAATCCTCAGGGCGCCCAAAACAGGGGCACAATATGATTTCATTTCCTCTCATTTTTAAGACTCAGTGTTCTTTAAACTTACCTTGCAACTTGGGTCCATTCTTCATACAGATTGAAAGTCATCAAGGGTTCAGGCAATTCCCGTAAATAGGACTTTAAAGCACCTGAAATCATTAAACACTCTTCTTGCACATGAAAAGTGATACGGCTAGGAATCTTGGCATATGCTGTTTTGCTAACTGAAATGAGCTCAACTACAGTCTTTCAAGTTTTAGAGAACAAATCATACTCTGGAGCAGTGGGGCTGGGGAGTTATAGAACAAAATGCTCAGAACACAGATGCCTACAAATCCCTTGTAGCATATGGTGAGCTCTCCAGAGAAAATAAAATAACCAATAGCTTCAATGTCTTTCTCTTAAGAGTCGCCGTGTCTCTGGGGAGCCCTGGACTTGGGAGTGTCCCAGGGAAGAAATACACGGCTGGCTTCACATATTTGAACCTCTAGGTACCGTTACCTTTGATGAAACTCAACCGAAAAACAGGCACAAAAAAGACACGCAGCATGCCTGACCGTTAGGGAATTTTATCAGGAGACTATCTGCTTTGTCACTTAAATCCATCCTTAAGGTGGGGCTCTTCTTTTTAGCTGATCAGCTGTCTAAAATGACAATAGTCCATTGCGCTGGGAGTGATTCAAGGTACAACATTCCGTGGAGCTCACCTGCGACCGCATGGGGGTCGGAATAGAACTCATCCAGGTGAGAAGTAGAACAGTCTAAGGCCGCTTTCAGTTTCTTTAACTTGGAGGCCCCAGCCCCAATTCGGAAAAGGCCCTAAAAACAATGAAAAGCCATTACTATCAAGTGCAAGTTGTGAGCCTTCAACTAAGAGTGCAGTGGGGCCTGATGGGAGAGCCTGCCCTCCTGCCTGACTCCCACACTCTGAGAGAGAGCATAGAGCAGCAATATCTCCCGCCTGGCAAGGCTGCTGCCAGGGAGGACGAGGGCCCAGCATGTTCTCTTCACAGAATGGTAGGCAGAGGGCAGTGCATATATGATCAGTGCTAGCTCTTGCTCTGCCACACTGCTAAATGCCAGCCAATGCCCATACAAAAAAACCACAAAAACTATCTAAAAACAGTGCTCTTATCTCTCACAGGGTTTATTTGCTGCAGATTTTCTACATTTAGGAACATTTAAAAAATATTAATATTTTAGCAATAATTGTTAGACCAGGCTGCTAGTCGTGTTCACTACCCTAAATGTTAGGGGAAAGAGAGAAACATGCATGAAGTATTAACCGAGAGAGGCAGTAGAGAATGAACAACAAGTGGTTAGAGAACTTAGTTTTTAGGCAAAGTTAATCTCACTCCTGACAGTCTGAACTAGGAATTTGTTGTTGTAGGACTTGCCCTGTACATTATAGGCTAAGTAGCAGCTTCCCCGGCCCTACCAATAAGATGCCAATAAAAGCTCCCGGATATGAACACCCACAATGTCTCCAGATGTTGGTGAATGTCCCCTGGAGGATCAGATCACCCGAGCTGAGAAGCACTGATGTCGAGTTTTAGAATTCGAGGCTACTTTGTGTGGGGAGTAAGAGCCCTGGTGACATAGTGCGTTATGTCTTGGGTTGCTAACTTCAAGGTCAGCAGTTCAAAACTACCAGCCACCCCCCAGGAGCAAGGTGAGGCTTTTAGTCTCGGAATCCCACAGGGTCAGCTCTACTCTGTCCAGTAGAGTTGCTATGAGTCAGATCAACTCCTTGGCAGTGAGTTTCTGTGTGGAGAGAGGGTAGTGACTGCAGCTACCACACGGGGGTGCCTTTAGGGAGTTTCCTGATCTTGTTATATTGGGGTTGTTGGGTGAGGAAATTCACTTACGACATGTCTGCTTT